GGTCGCGGTGGCCAACAGATCATGAAGGCGAAAGAAGTGTACGCCAAAGCTCTTGAAACCCTGGTCGAATTGGCGTCACTTCAAACCGCGTTCACCATCCTTGATGAGGTCATCCGTGCAACGAATCGTCGTGTCAATGCAATTGAACATGTCATCATGCCACGGTTAGAAAACACTATCAAGTATATCATGAGCGAACTAGATGAAATGGATCGTGAAGAGTTTTTCAGGTACGATCATTCTGCTCAAATGTCAACAGTTATTGAGAATATGCGTTAGGCTCAAGAAAGTCCAGGGGAAGAAGAAGAGAGATAGCGCTGCAAAGATGGCCGAAGAATCCGCGCGGACCCCGGTACCGATTGAATCCTCGATACCAGAAGATGAAGAAGCATCAACGAATTTACTGAGCACCAAAGATGAGGATGTAATTTTCTGAAGCACCCATTTTTCTATATCCTTAGCAACACTTTATAAACTCATCGTGTCCTCGCAATGTAATTGTCTGAAAATGCGGTGCGGAAGCGAAGGCGTCATGCGGCATATAGGCTGTACTATGCATAGATACATGGGTGCTTTTGAATTCATGAAGCCCTACAGCAAGGGAAAACAATCGAGAGCAAGTACCAGGGAAATTACTGCAGTTGGGATGAGATGAGGTTCTACGGTTGGAGGAGTCAACAATACGTACATCAGCCATCTCAACATCACCAGCAGCATCTTTCTTCCTGTCCTTCCTGTCAAGGATTGCCCGACTGCAACAGAGTTAGGCGAAACGAGAAATATCATAAACGCATGGGTGATGGCGCACCGATCTTTGTCCAGCTTGATTGTTGTGATAACAACGTTGCTGGGGTGGATGCCAATGGGTGCGCTTGCGCCGTTCGACTTGTCTCGCTGAACACGGTCGACATGGATAACCCACTTCTTGCGGTAAACCTGGGTGACTTTGCCCTCACGTCCCTTGTATTTGCCCCGGACAATCCGAACCTCATCGTCCTTGCGAATAGGTAGTGAACGGGTCTGATAGGTGGATCAATTAGGTGGATCAATTACCAAGAATATTCATTGAACGACGGTTCCTACTGACGTTGTATTTGGCCCTAAGCTCTTTCGCGAGACCAGAGGACATGATCTTGCGGCGGATGGATGAAGGCGCGGAGAAGTGCGCCTTGCGAGACTTGCGCCGTGAGGAGGAAACGTCTGTCGGAATGTATGGCGATATCAGTATCCTTGTGGACTGAGGGTCATCCGTAACTGCAAATATGCATCCAGCCGAGTTTTCCACCAAAATCCATCGTTCGACCGGCAAATGCGAGATACGAGCAGCATAGACCAGGCGGACGTGCTACATACCGGGATTGTACTTCATTTTTGGCGGTAGGGTTCTTGAGGACGGCGGGCACGACGAGGGGATGATTACCACACAAAGGTGGGACTGTGTCATTCCCACGGTCAACAATGGTGAATCACGTGGATTGAAAGCACCATTGACGACTTTATATTGACTTTATATTGAAGCTACTGTCACTTCATACTCTACCTTCACAATGGCTGATGACCGGGTGCGCTCAGCAAAGTTGAAATTCAAAGGCGAAAAGACCAAGAAGAAACGCAAGAGACACGACGGTGATGTCGACGAAGGTCGCAGCACCAAACGACGAGAAGACGACAAAGATCCCGAGACTTGGGTGTTCCCCGAACAAGCCAATGAAATACGAGGTCCCACTTTCATTTTCCACCCATGCGATCCCACTCCCATTTCAATCAATTTCAATTCCACAACCAACCGCGTTGTCCTCCACTCCCTAGATAAATCTAAGAACGAGGATGACTCAGAACCTCCGGCCTTACTAGAACAGACACCCGCCGATGTTGCCCAGGTCTGGGTAACCACACGTGTTGCTGGTTCTCCAACAATCAATCTCCGCACTGGTACAGGGGAAGGGAAGTTCCTCTCTTGTGACAAGCATGGCTTGGTTTCAGCGGACCGTGATGCTCGTGGTCCCCAAGAAGAATGGACGCCGATCATTATGCCGGACGGGATGGTGGCCTTCATGAACATTTACGAGAAGTATCTTGGTGTTGATGAGGTTGCTGGTGGCTCTCTTCAGCTCCGTGGGGATAGCGACGAAGTCGGTTTCAGGGAGAGATTCTGGGTCAAGATCCAGAACAAATATAAGAAGGAGGCGCATGAGGAGGAGAGGAAACGCAAAGAGGTGACTGCACCTCCCAAGATTGATGAGTCTAGTACCAAGTGAGGCTTTGTGTCTTTCCCGAGCTGTTGCACATACTCATTCACTCACGACTGCAGTCGGTTATACCAAACATGGGGTGCCGGAAAGATTGTGCTTTCTAAGGACGACAAGAA